GAATCAAGTGACTGTCTTTATGAATGGGTAATCATGAATCACTGACTCACTAGATTCGTTTAAAAACCCACGTTCATTCATAAACAAAACACCGCTGTGTTTGAATGGAGATGCGCTGTGTCTTTGTTTTAAACTATTTTCGACAACGAAATAGAGCAAAATCAGACAATAGTGTTATAGTCAGACAATGTAAGTCACAATATTAACTTCTTGTTTATTGAAGTGTATTGTATTAAATCAGTATCACATTTACAAACTCCCTTAAAAATCATTAAAAGCTGTCACTCATCTTAGTTCATCGCGATCTCACATTTATAATCAACGAAGCTCTCTACACTGCGCAATGAATCTCTTATTTACACCCTGTCTACACTTTGCTTATGAAAGGATTCGTGAGATATGTCTGTGATACATTACTCAACGCTGCAAAAACACGTAGAAACCTTTGAAGCTCCCCTGAGTGCAATCACAAGTATGATGATGACCGTGTCAGTCGCACAAATGCGACTGAAATGGTCGCATTGTAGAGCCCTGGCTGTACGCGGTAGACCAATCCAGAGCCAATCTCTCTACGGCTCTGGACCAATCACAAAGGACTGCGTCATCTGACCAATCACAGCAGTGAGGGCTCACCAAAAGGAGGGGTTTAGAGAGATTCTTTAAACTGCTTCGCACGAGTCATTTACGAATAATTTAGAAATGAGGTAAACTTAAATCTATTTTTTGAGAAAACTAACGTGTTTTTTGACCTTGCATGCATGTAAACCTGTTTTAGGAGACTCATAAAACAATATTAGCAACCTTAAAAATGGCACAATAGGGGCACTTTAAGATACCATTCACACGTCAGTGACAAATTACTAGTAAAATATGTGATTTTAGTAATCAGAAATTACCTTTAAAATACTGCATTGTTTTCTTCATCCACCTAGATGAGGAGTGCATTAGTTTAACTATCTATCCAATTTGACAATGATTTTTTTGATTTCTGTGTGACAGGCGTAAGGAACCACCCCCATCCATTTACTGCACTGCATCCGTTGTAGACATTATCACTGATTCTAAAGGGATTGGGAAAACACTTCAAACAGTTTGATGTGTTTTTTTTTTAAAGGACTCTACTGCATACATTTAATAGCACTGTTTATTATTTTTTGCATAGTAACTTAAGTCTATTTAGTAAGCCAATTAAGATTGTTTTTGAAAGCCCAATTATATTGTCCCTTAATTTTCATAGTAACTTGAGCCTATTTAGTAAGCCAATTAAGAATTTTTGAAAGATAAAACCGATTTTGTCCCCAAATTTTTATTACCATATTTCAACCATTTTTTTTGTAATTCCCATTCTCAGTGATTTTTACTATATTCTTATAACTGTAATTTGTGATTTTGCAGTGAAATGTGACCCGAACATTTATTTGACATTTTCAATAATTTTCCTCATCTCTCCTCATCACCACCCATATTATATTTCCATGCTGCGATTTTCTGCTGCACAGCTGTTGCCGTGATGGTGCTTTACTCTTGCGTGTTGCGATGTAGCAAGGCAGTGCTGTGGTCTAAACAGGGTTTTCAGCTGGTTGGAGGAATAATCCATCCGAGGTCTCTGGTGACATTAGTCACAGTAGCAGAGTTGATCTGAAGAGGCGTGAAAGGATGCTGCAGTGGTTTAAGGATTTCAGTGAGAGAAAGAGAGACAAGAAAAGGCAGGAAAGACGAGATTAGATCAGCTGGAGTCAGCTGACTGCTCTATATTGTGGACTGTCTATCTGGCAGAGGCGCGAGTCGGCGAGAGAGAAAGTGGGGAAGGGAGGGCGGGATGCTGTACCATCTGAGCTGAATGTATAATCAAGCATCTGCCTCCGACATGTGAATGGTTACAGCTCTCCAGTGAGCGTGAGGGAGGGAGCAAATGAGTGGCTGTGTTAGCTGGGAGGGAGGGTGGGAGCTTGTGTGCGTGTGATCACAGAGTAATCTGCCTGCGGATGGATGGAGAGGGGCGAGATGGAGAGCCGATCGCTACTACGTGAGGCAGGCAGCAGGCACCTCGCACCTCAGCCCCCTCCTTGACTTGGAGCGACAAAGACAAGCAGGTGGCATCGCTAACATGACAGTCTTCCCACAGCTCCCCACCACCTTCCCACAGTCCCTCCTTACTGGCAGCACTGCAGCTTCTGTGCATTTTTTGCGCTCTGTACAGAGAATATTTACTGTGATAGTGGTTGTCAGTACGTGGACTTGATTCTTTTGGTTTTGACCACCTTTAATATACGCTTATTTTTTACTTTCCCTCCCTTTCTCTCTGTTTTTTCCTCCGTGGGTTTGTGATGTAATGGCTGCAGTTTTCACAGGAAATCACTAGTCTGGTAAGCAGATGAACAGTACATGTCTATTGTTATGCTTTTTTTTATTTAGAAATGTCATGCATGTCATTGTATTCCAGTTGGTTGTAGATTTCCTGTCCCTTGTCATTTTCAGATGACTGTCATGATGCTTCTGGTTATGTTTAGCGTAGTACCGTGTAGCGTGTTGAACGTCTCGATCGAAGTAATGTAGATATTGTGTGACCTGTTTGATTTAGCTGTGTGGGTAGTTCTCAGCTATATCCAGCAGTCAAATTTACTGTGCCTCGCCCCTTTTTCCTCATTTCTCTCTTTTCCTATGATGAACTTTGGCCTGTGTAACAAGTTGGCTGTGGCATTTCATGAAAGGAGGGGCGAAGTTCCCTACTACTGATATCAGATTTGGTTTTGTATAGTTATGCAAAAGGAATGTAACTGTATGATGGGTTGAAAGTCCACTTTACATGAATTGCTGTCATGTTTTGAAAGACACCAAATTGGAGGAAGACAAACAATATGGAGCCCAGTATTTGTTTTAAATCTGACATTCTCGAACTGAATTCCTGCGATAGTTGTTTACCTTAAATTGTGGATTTAAACATGATTACGGAGGTCAGAATCAGCGCCGTTTCTAATCAGGGCCATCGTTCACCTCTGGCTTCAGTGTCGCTTCAGTCATGTGTGGTGACCCGAACGGTGGGTGACATCACTTTTTTGTTACTCTGAATTGCTATTTATTGTGATTATTTTGAGCTGCCCAGTGCTTCCTTTGGAGATACATCTCGGTGTGTGAAATGGAGGCTGGTCTTGCTTTCCAGCACCATAATAAAATTGAAAGGGAATTACCTGTTTGCTTCCAGCCGAGATCAGATCGCAGCTGTTTTTTACAGTCATACACAGCAGAAATGGTAATTAGAACTTTGTAGCCCTGTAGTTTAGAAGTCAAGTTAATTACTGTAGGTGTATTTTTGTTCTGAACTGTCAGCTTTAGATATTGTTATGAATATTATAGAATTCTCCAGCACTTGGTGCACCAGAGTACAGCTCACACTTCTGACCACCTGTCAAACTCCCACACACAAATGTAATGCTGTCCTCCCACACAGGAAGAACTATTTGTAGGAAATCATCATGAATTTCAAGTTTTCTCTGATATAGTGAATACTATTCCAATTTACCTGATTCTTTCCTCCACAGGCCTATTCCCAAGATGCCTACCTTAAGGGTCATGATGCATATAGTGGAAATGCACGCCATATACCGGAGCCACCCCCTACATGTTACCCTCGAGTAGACTGTAAGCCCCCGGTGATGGCCCAGGCCACTGAGACATCAGCCCCGGGGGTTGTACCATCTGATCTAGGATACCGTGTGGAGATACCAGTACCTCCCTCCCCTCCACCACCCATTCCAAAGACACAGACTGCAGTGTGTGTGTGCAATGAAAGTGTTCGGACAGTGGTGGTACCTCCTGATGTGCACATGGGCCGTATGGTTCCGAGTCATAGGGTCGACTATGGTCTAGTAGGCCCAGATCCAATGCTGATCAGAGCCAGGCCTGGTACAGTGTCTGGTGGTCGTCCGCCATACCTCCACCCTCGCAAAGCTGACATGTTCCCTTCAGGTTACCATGGTGATCCTTATGCCATTCCACCTACACACTATGCGCCTGCTTCCTCCATTACCTCCCATGCTACCCACCAGAACATTGACTGGCGGACTTACCAGACATACCGTGAATATATTGATAATAAAGGTCTTCACACTCACAGTCGGACTATTCAAGAGCGTTTAGACAGCTTGCGTGCTGCATCCCAAAGTGTCCACATTGGCCCCCACTGTGGACCCCAACCTGGCTGGGGCAATAAGTTATGCCGCAGAAGCACATCTCATGACCGGGCTTACCAGGGCCCTTCTGTGCTTCCTCCACGCAGCACTTCGCAGGATAGGATGAGTGGGGCAGAGAGAGCAGCCCTCACCAGGGACTGGCCTCCTCGTAGTGTGTCCTCTGACGGCCTCATGCGGAAGCCCCGTGTTCATTCGTCAGACTATGTGGAACATAGTGAACTAGTTTCTCCTGCACCATGGGCTTCTGTGGATAGGCATCTGTATGGTAGAGTAGACCAGAGGAGTCGTCCTAGTAGACAGTCTCTCCCACCTCGGGCGGTCCTTTATCGTCCCCCAAAAGGGTATGGTATGGTGGGGGTCAGGGGTGTTGCTGGCTCCCATATGCACAGCTCCAGAACAGACATCCCACCCACCGCTGGTTTTCCAGAGCGACCTCGCAATGGACTAAACCAGGCCAAAGAGCCTCCTTCCAAAGACCAAAGTGGAACTGCTTTTGGAAATCGTATTTCTCATTCGTCATCGAACCAATCAAGAACTAGGGCTGAAACCATGCAGAGCTCAGAAACTGGGAATGAAAATCCAGTCGGATATAGGTCAGCATCTTACTCTGCTCCGCCTCCACAGAGGCCACAGTGTGGGGCATCAGCTCAGAGCACACACCCACGGGATGTCAAGGGCCTACCAGTAAATGGGTCCAGTCCTGTGGAGGGTGTAGTTCTCCGAGAGAAGCCCCCAACAGGGAAGGGGACCCCACAACCTCTCCGCCATCCCTCGTACATCCTTGCGGTGAATGACACGGATGGATCCGAGCCGGCAGGGGGTGGTGTCTGCTGGTTGCCCAATGATGCACGCCGGGAGATGCACATGCAGAGACTGGGGGAGCGGCTTGACTCCTCCTTCTGCTCCAGTAATCTGGACGAATCACTTGACTCCATTCCCTTCATCGGTAAGTGCACTCTTTGTAACCATAGCAACGCTAACCCGGCTACAAACTTGCTCCAGCAGTAGGGATTGTTTTAGAGCTGCTGCAGATATTTTTGAACAGTAATTGCTTATGTGTAGACAATAATGGTGATGTTTTTTGCAATTAATTTTTTGTCTGTACAATTTGGGCCATCGGTGATTTCCCGTATTAGTAATGCTCCAGTACCTTATGCGATTTCAAACTGTGACCTTTCACTATCACAATTTCAAATCCCAACCCCATGTGTCCAGAAAGAGGATTATCATGGCCAAATCTTACTTTGTATTTTCTGTTGGATCAAACTCTCAAAGCTTGGAGAGTAGGGGTGACTTATGCAGAAGGTGCAAATCTAGGCCTGTGAGTGTGGCTGTTTGGGAGTGACTGAAGGAGAGTGAGAGTGACTGTGTGTGAGTCATGGTGTTGTTCAGGGAGGAGGTGGCCTTCTCTCATACTCTTAATGCATGAGGATGGGTCTGGAATATTGAGTCATAGCTTAGCTGTGCTCTGTCACATTTTGTCTTTGATGCTTTGGTGTTTTTTGCACTAGCCTTCTGATATTAGGAATACACTGTAAGTTTCTTTCTGTGTTCGAGCCCAAAATCTCTGTTGCTTATCTTTCAGACTGATTATAATTATATGAATGTTTTTAATTTGATTTTTTTTTTTTTTTTGCGATATGCAT